CCTGTACTATGAAAAGAAATCCTGGTTTCAGATCCAGTTCGTGGGAAACAGCAACCCTTCTATATCATTTCCAGTTCAGCTAGTTTCTGGATGAAATCTATCTCCATAATTCCTTTATTCATGGCCAGCATCCTGAGCTCAGAATATTCTGGGAAGCTGAAATATTTCTCTGCTTTTTCTACTGGAAACTTCTACAGCAAACGAACTTAGTCACAATGCTCATTCTACTGTGAGTATGGTACCAGAATACCGAGCCAACAGACCAGTTCTGACTCCTCGCTTCCTTAATGGTTTCCAAGCCCAGCATACTAATAATAACAGTATGAAGCACCGTAGAAACAGAGATCAATTGTGCGGCCTACCAGCCGAGGAGTTTCCCTCTTTTGTAAGCATTACTTAACTTACTACCCCTAATTAATTAGTCATCAACTGCAACCCTAGCTCTTCCACGTACAGTATCATTCTCATTCATCCCAAACAGGAAGGGATGGTGGGAAAAGAGACACTTTAAGAAAAAGCGAGACTCTTTTAAGGGTCTCCTCCTGCATTTGTTAAAGTGTTGGTGGAGGTTGTATTTGTCGACAAGGGGTCGCGACGCTAACAAGAGCTGGGGAAAGGCAGAGAAAATGGGGACCGAACAGGAGAGAAGCCGGCTCCGGGGTAAGAGGGAAAGGCGAGCGGACCAGTGGAGACCCCATCGGTGAGGGAGAGAAAGCCTCCACGTGATCGGTTGGTGGGAGAAGGGAGCGTTTGAACCGGGATCGGAGTCGAGGATGCGCGAAAGAGAACAGCAAGGAGAAGACTCGGCCGGAGTTTAGCGAAGTGGAGGGAAGAGCAATTGGCCTCTCCTCCCGGAGCGGTGTTCTAGTTCCCAGCCAACGGCTGTTAACGGCCGCCGGCTTGGCCGGAGCACGTGGGCCCGGCGGAGGCCCTGCGCAACGCGGAGGGAGGCCACTGCTGACAGGCAAAGGCCAGGAGCGAAACCTCGTGCGCGGCGGGGCTGGAGGAGAGGACAGGGACAGAGAGCCACGCGAGTACGCGAGTCACCTCGGCTTGTTTACGGACGACGTTGTCCGGACTAAGCAGGTTGCCGAGAAGGAGGTAGAACTGCTGCTGTTCCTGCTCCGCTGCCACCGCCATGGCTGCCGAAGAGAGAGGGGCCAGCCGGGCGGGGAGGAGGAGGAAGAAGGGGACGCGAGGCCGCGCACCGACCACAGGAAGGCGGAGCCGCCGCCACTGCCGAGCTCTTGGGAACCTCTCCCCTCCCTCCTGGCCAGACAAACCCCTCCTGCCGGCGCCGGAATGCCGCGCGCTCATTGGCTGCGGTCTGGCGGGCATGTGCTTGGATTGGGCGGCGAAAGCAGGGGCTTTATGATTGGGCGGGAAAGACCCATTGTGAGGTCACTTCCCTTTCTCTTCTGGTTACTCCGGCGCTTTTTTTCCCCCTAGGGATTTCTCGGCCGGGGGTGATGTTGGTATTGGGAGGGGAGTGGGGGTGGGTGGGCTGGAATAGCCGCGCTCTTGATGGCGGGAAAAACGCCGGCTGGGAAGGGAGCCTGTTCGGCGAAAGGAGGGAGCGCCGGGGCAGACGGGACCCGTGCCCGTGGGTGCTCCCCAAGGGGAGCCAGAAGGTTCCTTGGCGTAGTTCTGGTACTATTTTGCTACTTTTCTCCTGGGACCGTGATAAAGCGGGGCTCGACCCGTTTGCTGAAATGGTGATCCGGGTTGCCGCTTCCCATGTTGCATGTTGTGTGTGTGTGTGTGTGTGTGTGAGTCCTTTGAAAGGATGAGGGCGCCTCTTTGCTATGGGGATTCTGTGCCAAAGTTGATCTCTCCCAATCAGCCCTGCCCCGGATGAGTTGAGCGACCGTATCGGGCAGGACCTCGTTATCGCCTCTTCCATATCTCGACGCATCCGGACGATTCCAAATCTACACTGAAATTCCCTGGGGCGTTTTCATGGATTTAAACGGATGCTGTACTTTCGAGTAGAAATGTATGCAGTAAAATATTTAAGTCTGTTTACCTGTCTCTTGACTTGAGTCTCAGAGTGTATAGATATGCAAAAGAGGTCTTCCTCTCTCCCATAATTATCTCTCCGGATAGTTTCTGCCTTGGCACAATAAACAGTGAAACGAAAAGTAATATATGGCAATGATAGCCAGCTGCATTATGGGCATAGCTGAGGTTGTAATGTTTAAAATAAGGTTCCTAATTTTAAGGATTTTTTACCCTCAATGAAAGTTGTTTTCAATACTGTATGAATAGTTGAATGATTACAAAACAGGTGCAGAGTGTGAGAAAGGAAGAATATAGATTCAAGTAAGGATCTTTGAAGATTAACGAACATAACGGGCACAAATTCAGAAAGTCTGCTATGGAAGCCCTACACTTGTAAGCTTTGAAGAAAACAGCTTATTAAAAGAATATGTCCGAGCTTAATCATTGCTTTCTATTGTTTATTATTTGCTCATGAGGTTTATGGGTGTTAACACATTTTTGGAATTCTGGAAGCAGGGAATTACTTTATTTGCATATGTTATTGAATGAAAAATTAAACTTCAGTTAAGAGTTGGTGAAAATATGGTTGTAATTTTCTTCCATGGACAAAAATTCAGGTACCCCTCCCCAAGGGAGCTGTGGACATCAGGTTAATAATCTTCTGATGAATAAAGTGAAAGCTGTTAAAGCCCAAGAGCATTTGGGAAACATAAAATAGCAACACCTTGTGTTTGGACGAACTTAACCCTAGCTGTTCTAAACTTTATATTACAATCATGGCAATGACAAAGTTGTTGGTTACAAAAATCTTAATATTTAATCTAATTAACAATTTGCAATATAAACCATTATTAAGGGGAGTGAGCAATTCTTGGCCCAGCTTTGCCCTTGTATAATCTTTGCTTTAAAACAGAATGATCTTGATTCCAAGGCTACAGAAAAATAGCAAAAGATGGAAGCGTATCTGGGATCTAAGAGATTAAGGGAATTTTGCAGGAATAGCTTTTGTAGGTATTAGGCTAAACAGCTCTCACTGCAATAGTTAGCTATTCATTGATAATCAGATGTTATTTTATGGCTATTTGTGATGCCTAAACTTTAGTGATTAAGCCCCCTTCTGTTTAAGATGACTAACATGTTTGAATTAATAAGTAATCTTTTAAATCAGGGATGTCAAACTGCTGACCCACGGGCTGGTTGCATCCTGCGGAGACTGCACCCACTCCAGCTCCGGCAATGTGAAAAAGTTGTAATACGTCGCAACACATCACAACGCAGCGAGTTTGACACCCGTTTTTAAATAGTACCCACAACTTTGTTTTTAAAGTCTTTAAAGTGTAAGTTTGGTAGTTACAAAGTCTTTCAGTTTATAATCTATTTTGACAAGTTGATGTAATGATATAGAAATGAAATTGCATTTAAAAGTAGGATTTGTTTGCGTCAGATTAAATATAATATCTGATAGTCTCTAAAGTTTTGCAATGCAAACTTTCTAGCTCAACTATTAACTGTATGGAAAATTGTTAGTAAATCTTTTAAAGAACAAAATGTGAACATTGTATATCACCAGAATGGGTTTACAGATGTGGATGATTCAAAATATTGGGAATAGGTAGTGGGTTGGTACTAGTTGCTCACATTCAAAAAGAGTTTAAACTGTTATTTTCAGTAATTAGATGAACGATAATAACTTCATCTAATGATAATGATAGTAAGTTCATATAAACCTAAACAATTTCAAGATTCTTGACATATTCTTCTGTACAATTAATGCAATGACTGGTATATACACTTATCCAAGATCTTTCAAAATATAATGAAGAAAAACCACAAATTCATATTTTAATGCATGTATTTGATTTTAGTAGTTTCCCCTAACATTTATAGAATTTTGGCTATATTTCATTCAGTAGTTTCCTCAATAAAGTTTTTCCAACTCCCTACTGCCATCTGTTGGTAAAAGTCAGCATTGCTTAGAAACATGATTGCTTGATTGCTTGATTAAAAGTAGTCCTTGATTTAAATACATTTGTTTAGCAACTGTATGAAGTTACAGCAGCATTGAAAAATGACTTATGACCTGTTTTCACACTTACGACTGGTTTTCACATTTGAGGACCATTGCAGCACCCCCATGGCCACGTAATCAAAATTCAGGCACTTGGTAACCAGCATGTATTTACATTGGTTGCAATGTCCTGGGCACATACTATTTTACCATTTGCAATCTTCTCAGCTAGCTCTGATAAGCAAAGTCAGTGGTGGAAGTCAGATTTGCTTAATTGTCAAGTGATTCACTTAATAACAATGATTCATTTAACCATGGCAAAAAAGTAAAATTGGGCAAACCGAAGTTAATAACTGTCTTGCTTAGGAACAGAAATTCTGGTCCCTATTGTTATAATTTGAGGACTACCTATATGGAAGATTGTTAACATTTCAATTCTAAATAAAGGCAGTAAAATGAAAAAAAACCCTACTCTTCTGAGCTGATTTTAGTTTTTGTTTAGCCTTAGCATGCCACTCTCCCACGGTAGAGGAAGGGGGAGAAGGAATGCACATGTTTACTGGAAAGTAAATCAGGTGTTGATAACAGCTTGCTAGCCTGATCTTAACTAAACAGAGCAAAGCTGATAACATATGAATGGGAAAGTCAGAAAACGCTAGGGTCGGAATAGAAACGGGGGGGGGGGGAGCAGGAAAAGGAAGCAACAAATTATATTACTTAGTGTTTCTGCTAAAAAAAAAAAACCTGTCTGGACCTCTACCCTTATTCTAGGTAACTGAGAGTGTCTGTGTTGGTGTGCAGACAGGCACACAAATTTATGCCAGCTGCTTTTTGATCCTAGTTTCTCATACAAAATTTTTCCTTCGATGTTAAGGAACAGCAGAAGAAAGGACAATTCTGCTGAGGTTGCAAAACTGATATATTTCTATCAGTCCTGATACACTCACAGTCTCTGTGTAAGAGCTACATTTCCCAGCGGGCAGCAGTTTATATTTGTGACGTAATAACGTGGCGCCGGCTGGCTGAGCGACGCTTTGTTTTCGAACGCTCTTCCCTGTATCTTCTAGTTTCCCGGCTGGATTCCGTCCTCCGTTTTTCACGTATTTTACTCAAGAATCCCATCTTCTTCGCTTTATACAAACAGGTTCGTTGGTCTTTTCGCCCTGCGTTGCAGCAATTCTCTTTATTAGAAGTTTCGCCCATGTGAATCTGGTTTCGGAAGTCGATAGTGAGGAAGGCAGCAGGAGCGATTACACAATGACCATAATGTTTTAGATCAGGAATTATAGGAAAAAATAAAAAGAAAATCCCTGTGTCCCGAAGAAGATTGCAGTGGGGAATTTGTCTTAGGAGGCCTAATACAGAGGAGAAATGCAAAATATGGAAGCCGGTTTAGTTAGGGGCCTGTATCTGTTCTGTTAAGGCAAAGCACTTAAAAAAGTTGGAGTTAGGATTGACGAAGTTTGGATTTCCTCTTCAAAACGAAGATATTTGATAGCGTTTCCAAGACTACTTGAACATTGCCTTACCAGCGCGTTAATGGCACGAAATGTCTTATTTGTCCGTAGGGGAAAAAAATCCTCTTAATAATTCAGACCACTGCTAATTTAGGATTAATTAAAAAATACACTTCAAACCCTTACACAATCTTGTAATTTGAGTAGAACTCTTTCTAGTTGTCAGGTACCATCTTGTTGAGGAAATGGAGCTAGAGTGAATTATTATATTAAAACTGCAGGATATTTTATTTTACACAGTTGTTTATAATATTTATTTTACACAGTGTTACATGTGAATACTAATGCTAGTTAGCTAATGAAGCTGTGACTGCCATCCTGAGGTAGAGACATATTTTAGATATTATTTCTATTTTTTTTAAACTATGCTCATTTAAAACAATATTCATAATTGGTTTGATTAAATCAAAATATATATGAAAAAAGAAATACTTCATAAGCATTATTCTTTTTCTGGTAAGGTTTAACTATTGATTTATGGTTTATAGGTAATGATGTGAGGTGTGTGTGTGTGTTTGATTCTTCTTGACCAGGTTTTTTTCATTAAACTATTTTATCTAAATACTATTGTTCTCACAATGTTCTTAGTAGAAAAACTGACATTTTAATAAATAAGTGTTTAAAGTTCTTGTTCAGATAAATCATCCCTTCCCCAAATTGTGCAGTTATCTGTGGGTTTCCTAACTCTGATTGTCATTATTCAATATGGCTAATAATTGGGGAGAAAACAAATCTCTTTGAAAGGCACAAGTTTGGAAAAAGCTTGAGTTAAATATTTGTAAATTGTCTAGCAAGATTGTAATTCTACAATAAGCTAATAGATACAGTAAGATGTTATGATTGCCATATTTAATATATAAGCAATTGACCAATATTTTTATTGCTTTCAACAGATTTAACTTTCATTATATCACCTAATGAACAATGGGAGTTCATGGGCTTTGGAAGTTACTGGAATGCACAGGAAGACCTATAAACCCAGAAACACTGGAAGGAAAAATTCTTGCTGTTGGTATCCTTTTAAAAATGAGCTTTCTTAAGAACTTTTTTTATAGATTGCATGTACAATTGCTGATTTTGTCCAGTCAATAAAAATTGAAAAGCAATATTTTATTTTCAGTCTTCTTGTTAATTTTACCTGGTGTGTTGGGTTTTACAATCTCAGGAAAACTAGTACATCAGCTAAAATTAACAGCAATGCAGTATTTTTTTCCTAGCTACTTGGATCCAACATGATTCATAGCAGTAATTTCATTGTGTCAGATAGCTCTACCGGCTTTTCTGAGAGATGTAGCCTCACATATGCAGAAGTGGCAAAATAAGGAAAAACATCTCATTATTATACTAGTATAGTATAAGCTTTTTGTAATAAAGTGTGCTTTGTAAAATGCTGGTTATGTAAGCATGAATGACTAATATGCTTAAACAGATCAATGCTTTGTATATGTCATTTTTTCTGTTGTCTTCCTTTAAATGCTTTCTTAAGATATTAGCATTTGGTTAAATCAAGCTATTAAAGGAGCAAGAGACCGCCATGGAAATTCCGTTCATAATGCGCATCTCCTGACATTATTTCGACGACTTTGCAAACTGCTCTTCTTTCGGATCCACCCCATTTTTGTTTTTGATGGAGAAGCTCCTCTATTGAAGAGGCAAACTTTGGTATGTAAGCCATACCTATCCCGTTCATAATTCCACTGAAGTAAGATTACTAAGTTCAGTGCATGTTACTTTCAGATAAGCAAATTTAGGGGAACCAAGGATTAGATAATTTACCAACTTTGGAATTAAAATCTCCTTGCCAATGACTGACAGTGGCAAGCCACTTATTTATTTATTAAATTTATATGCTGTTCGTCTAGAAAGAAGAAAGAGCATTCTTAAATTAGGCTACATCAGAAGATGTAGGGTGGGGCAGAGGGAGAAAGAAGTGCTCAAAGGCTTTCTTTTAGAAATCTAAGGCCTTACTTGGCCAGGCTGTGCAAGAAGATACAGAAGAAAAGCCATCTGATGCAGGAACCCATAGAAAGACCAGTAATTTCAATCTCTAGACCAGCACAGTTGTCTTTCCAGTTAGCAGTCTAAGAAATACTTTAAAAAGAAAGGCTTTTGTCAATCTACTGTCTTCACTGAAATAAGAAATTTAGGAAAATGACCACAGTGAAGTTAGCTTCATTGGGCTTTGCTGCTTCTTCCAACAGCGATTACATTAGCATTCCAGTATGGAATAGGGTCATGCCCGCATTCAGATGAGCTACCACTAATTGGGGCTTTTCCTCTGAGCAATTTCCACTCCAGTGGGGTATGCACTAATCCCTTCCAGTAATTATAAGATTTGTGTATCATTAAAAATTGGTAGCTGAATATCCCTTTTTCCTTAGACTCTTCCCAATCCTTTTTCTTTTTGTGTGTTAATTCCAAGGACAAGAATTACCTTTTCTTGATCTCCAAGTTGCTGGAGCAGCCTTGCTAGCAACAAGATGGTAGACAAAGGCTTTAATAAAATTAATGACTACAAAGTATTTTACTCAATTTTATTTTGTTGCAGGCTAAACGAAAGCAGCAAAAAGAAGCTGCAGCCACAGATTCAAAGAAAACTAAGGAGAAGATTTTGAAAACTTTCCTGAAACGACAAGTGATCAAGACTGCTTTAGCAGGCAAAAGGCAAGAACAACCTTAGTCTGCTTATAAATGTCCATGGGAGCTTTCAGTTTTTAAGTATTTTGGTTTCCATAACATGAAATATCCTTATATTCCCAGCAATGCTGAATTTCCTAGTCTTGCAGAAGTAAGAAGAGAAGAGGTGGATGACGTTTATGTGCTCCCTGCCTTACAAGAAGATAAAAAAAATAGGTGAGTGAAACAAGTTAAAAAAATTAGATTGTTATGTAAACATTAAGAAGCAATAGAATGCAAAATACTCTTTCATTTTCTATGGACAAATTTTGACATTTAGCAAACTAATTCTGTTTTTTTATGACTAGCTCGGAAGAGGAAGAGGAAAAAGAGTGGGAAGAAAGGATGACCCAGAAGAAAATATTGCAAGTAAGGCTCAGTATTTTATATTACATTGCAATCCTTTCAAAATAAATTGCAATCCTTTCAAAATAAAACCAGTGATTATTGGCATACTGGGTGCCATACCAAAAGATCTTGAATAGCACTTAGAAAATCTGCACATTGGCAAAATTTCCATCTGTCATTTATAAAAGGCCACACTGTTTGGATCTGCAGGTATACTATCCTGATACGTTACGGCATATTAGGTTCTTGGAGGAACGCACTGTAAATCAGGCGTGTCAAACTCAATTTCATTGAGGGCCGCATCAGCATTGCGGTTGCCCTCGGGCCGGGTGGGTAGTGGCCAGGGTGGGTGCGGTTTACTGAGTGGGCATGGATGGGGTGGATGTGGCCTACTGGGTGGGCGTGGTTTCGGCAGGTAGCAGGGCGCTCTCCTCACAGAGCCGAGAGATTGAGCCAGGCAGTGTGAAGCTTGCCAACTTTGTACCTCGCTGCCTGCTGAAACTGGGCAGGCTGGGGGCTAGAAGCATTGCACTTCTCAGCAGATTCGCACCACCCAGCTCAGCTTTTGGCACTGTGAGGAGAGCGCCCCACTGCCTGCTGAAACTGGGCAGGCTGGGAGCTGAGCGGCCTTGTGTTTCTTTTTGGATTTGCACCGCCCGGCAGCCTCTCGGTGCTGTGAGGAGAGCGCCCCACTGCCTGCTGAAACCCCTCCCCCAGAGCCCATCAAGCTGGATATGTGAAGTAGGCGAGGGCCATTTGCTGACCATTTCCAGGCGATGGTGCATTTCTTCATTCCTCACAAAGAGTAACATCTCCCCAGCATGCACCCAGGGAGTAGGGCTTTCCAGACAGCCTTGTGGAGCTAAGACTGAATGCGTTTCAGCATAGATGGCCACCACAAAATTGTACATTGGCTCCCTCCCGGCTGGCCTGGGCCAGGGCCAAGGCAGCGGGGGCCGTTCCCTCACTGTTTTCAGGATGGCTTTGCGGGCTACATGAAACCACTTCGTGGGACACATTCTGCCCCGGGCCTTGTGTTTGACATGTCTGCTGTAAATGAAAGCCAACATCAGTTAAAGAACTGGCAGCTGTGACTTCACATTGTTGTGTATATAATAATAATCAGACCTATACTAAATTGTGTTTTTTTTTTCTGAATTTCATTAACTGATTGAAACGCCAAATCCAGTCTGAGGTTGACTGTGTGAACAAACATAATAATATTAAAAGTTATTGCATTTATTTGCTGCCCAACTCCCTGTGATTCATAAGGATCATAAGGTCCATATACTGCACTGAAAAACACTAGACCACTTTTCATGGCACATTAAGCTAGAACTTTGAATAACTTCTTCACATGGTTTGTTCAATTTTGGCTTAGAACTAGGAACCATGGCTCTTCTGATATGCCAGAATTTGAAGCCAGAGTTTCTCTTAATTGTAGCTGTTTGCATTGCACATAGTGCTAGATTTGTGGGCCTTGAATGACTTCAGGGTGAGTCTCTCAGATGGCTCCAAAAGTTGGTTCCAAATTGTTGTTTTTAATGACAGGATATGTATTAAATGTCGGGAGGAACTAATGTTAGCTGTATTTGGTTTACTTTAGTTATAGTTAAAATGAGTATGCAGGTAGTCTTCAACTTATAACTATAATTGAGGCCAAAGTTTATGTTGCTAAGCAAGACAATTGTTAAGTGACTTTGGCCCCATTTTACAATCCACAATGCCACAAGTGTTAAGCAATTCACTGGAATGTAAAGTTAGTAACACAGTTGTTAAGTGAATCTGATTTCCCCGTTGATTTGCTTGTCAGACAGTCACAAAAGGTGATCACATCACCTCAGGATGATGCAAACATCATAAATACATGCCAGTTGCTAAGCTTCTGAATTTTGATCACATGATCAAGGGTGCTGCAATGGTCATATGTGTGAAAAATGATCATAAGTCACTATTTTCAGTGCCGTTGTAACTTTGAATGGTCAAATGAACTGTTGTAAGTTGAGTACTACCTATAGTTTTGTCCCTATCATATTCATATTTGAAGTGGCTTGCTGTGTGAAGTTAGACGATTATATATTTTAAAAGCAGTGGAACTGTTATAATAACAATAATAATAATAATAATATAAAAATAAATAAAAATGGGAAGAGATCTTGAAGGTCATCGAGTCCAACCCCCTGCTCAGGCAGGAAACCGTACACCATTTTGGACAAATGGCTGTCCAGTCTCTTCTTAAAAACTTCCAGTGTTGGAGCATTCGCCGCTTCTGGAGGCTGGTTGTTCCTGTCCTAACTGTCAGGAAGTTTCTCCTTAGTTCTAGGTTGCTTCTCTCCTTGATTAGTTTCCATCCGTTGCTTCTTGTCCTGCCTTCAGCAGGAGAACATTGGAAGCTCATTCTAGACAGAGCAGACAATACTAGTCTAGTTGAATGAGAGGCTTAACCCTCTAAAAGGCAACTTCATAGGCTTGGTCCTGTTTGAAATTTAATAAAAGTACTTTATTTCTATTTTTGAAAGTGTCCAAAGTTCAGTTTATTGTGCTGCAGGATTCGGGCAATAGCATAAATGGAGAAGAATTTTGAGGAAATTGCTTGCAATCTGTAAGTAAGGAACTTGTGCATAAACTTTTGGATCTATAAAATACTGGATTTTTTTTTAAATAACTTTCATAATGTAATTAATAAGGATAGGATAGTGTAACAAAAAGGGATTAAGCTGCAAATTTGGAGGAAAAGGTTTTGATGCTGACTCTTAATGACTTTGTTAATAATTTTTGCTATAATTATACTATACACTCCAATCTACTCCGGAATCCTGTTTTCCTATGATGGCCAACCAAGTGTTTCTGGGAAGCTCATAGGGTAGTGGTTCTCAACCGTTTTAATGCCGTGACCCCCAACTGGTCGTAAGTCGAGAACTACTCAACTGGTCGTAAGTTGAGGACTACTCAGCTGGTGCAGCACCGTTTGCAGAATGGGACTTTTGGCGGGCTCAGCAGGGCAGAGACAGCCTGGACAATTCCTATTGGCTTTTGAAAGCCAATAGAATTAGACTCTATTCAAGAGAGTCTATTCTATTGGCTTTCAAAAGCCAATAGAATAAAAGGGAGTAGCACAGCTAAGGAAAAGGAGAAAAAAATGGTGGACTGCGTTGTTTGGCGACCCCCGTGAAATGGTCGTTCGACCCCAAATGGGGTCCCGACCCACAGGTTGAGAACCACTGTCATAGGGGAAGATTTGTGAGGACAATATGCATCTTTTTGCATTATTTCTAGAAACTGATATTTCAAAGTATATTAACAGATCCTCGTGATAACAACCCAGGTCTCTTGGCTCTTCCTCCTTAAATATGCAGGAAGATGCTATATCTCATATCTCATACATACTTTCATGTTGTGGTCTCTGGCATGGCATAAGAGATGCCCTTTGGTTTGTCTGATTTTTCTCTCATAATTAAAAAAAAATGTTCTTAGGGCAAATTTTGTCTCAGACTTTCATGAAAACTTAAGGAGGAGATTTGTTCTTTAATCTGAAAACACTACTGCCCCGCCCCGTGCTTTGGACTTTATTGACAAAGGCTGATACTGTCTGGACTCATTTCTAATGCTTCTCCACTCAATTCCTAATGTGTGTTTATAACATTCTGCTACCTGTTTCAGAAAACCATCTTCAATCACTGTAAATGAGGTTTGGTTAGTCCTTTTTATGCTTCTATGCATCTAATCTTATGCCACTCTTTTTACAAAATGTTTTTGTGCTCCTTCTCCTTTACAAAGGAAGAATTGCTTGAAAACCCTCATTCTGTAGATGTTGAATCAGACGATTTCTTGAGCTTGCCTCCTGAAATAAAACATGAGATCCTCACTGACATGAAGGAATTCACTAAACGAAGAAGAACAATATTTGAAGCAATGCCTGAGGTAATGAACAAACTTTCCTTTGCCTTTTCAAGCAGAAGGGTGCTTTGTCTGGAGCTGATGAATCTCTCTTAGGCAATCCTGTATCTTTGTTAAGTAATAATGTTGAAAATACTTAGGTAACAATTCTCAATGTACAGGTCTCAACAGTATTTCCATAATAAAGCATTCATACTATGACTGCTTAAATGAGGATACTTGGGAAATAGGGTATTTGTTATCATTTATCATCTCTGGATTGTTTCAGTGACAATTTACAGTAAGTGAAGTTTTCTTCTAGACACATTTCATTCTTTGGGCACTTCACTTCTGGATTTGTGCTTATCTATAGATTCTTATTACATTTTTATCTTGCTGTTCTGTAAAGCAATAAAAACAGTTGACCTCATATTTAACATTTGTCAAGAAGTAAAAATCAAACATCCCTAGCATAAACAGTTAAACTATCAATTGTGAAACTAATAGCAAAAGGAGATTTTTGGTGTCTCCCTAGTGAGTTGTTTTTCATATACACACTTATGTATGTGTGCATACACATACACACACAGACATACATACACCATGTATGTGTGTGTATATATATCTCTATCTCTATATCTATCTATCTGTCTGTCTATACACACACATACACATACTGTATACATATAGTGTGTGTGTGTGTGTGTGTGTGTGTGTGTTAGTGTTTGAGTAGAAGAGAATATCTAGCTCCGGGTTGAACTGTGGAGTTCTTGGTGTTTGCTGGCAGACATTTCATTACCCAGCTAGGTAACATCATCATGCCCAACTTACAGATAATGACAGCACTGATGATGTCGATTCCTGGGTAATCACACTCAATCTTACATATACAAATCTACACAAGAATGATTTATGTATTTCATTTAACCATCTAAACTATGACTGCTGAGGTCAAACCAATGAGCCCACCTCATAAAAGCAGCAAAACCTGCCCAATCTGTTATGGTTGGGGGAACAGACAGCTCTTCAGTGCCTTACAAAAGGCTAACCAGCCACCTGGATTTCCAAAGGGATGCTGTTCTGTGGGCATGTGCTGCTACAGAGACTTCCTTGCTCTCTATTTGCAGTATCTCCAGCAAGGGACTTAGTACAGGTAGACCTCAACTTACAACAATTCATTTGACCATTCAAAGTTATAATAGTCTGAAAAAAGTGACTTATGCCCATTTTTCACAGTTACGACCACTGCAGCATCCTTATGGTCATGTGATCAAAATCCAGATGCTTGGCAACTGGTTCGTATTTATGAGGCTGCAGCATCCTGGGGTTATGTGATCAGCTTTGGAGACCTTCTGACAAACAAAGTCAATGGGGAATCCAGGTTCACTTATTAACAACTATGTTGCTAACTTAACGAATGCAATAATTCAATTAACAATTGTGGCAAGAAAAGTCATAAAATGGGGCAAGCTCACTTAACAAATGTTTCACTTAGCAACATAAATTTTGGGCTCAATTGTATGCCACTACGGTAAGGACTTGTCATACATGAGGAAGAACTATTCCTACTCATGTTCAAGTATTTCAAAGTCAGTAGATATTCTTTCATGTTAAATGTGTTCATCCCACCAACACACAAAATGTTGGTACTATTAAAAAATGAATTAAAATTTTAAAAATGATGTTGCTTTTGCCTCCAGAAATCTTTTCTTTCTTTCAGCCTGTCATTTAATTCCAGTATTTCTTTTAAGGAATCCAATGACTTCTCCCGGTATCAGCTCAAGGGTTTGCTTAAGAAAAGCAGTTTAAATCGACACATAGAAAAAGTGCAGAAGGAGATGAATGAACAACACTCTGGCCAAATCCAGCACCAGTACGAAGAAGATGGGGGTTTCTTGAAAGAATTGGAAACCAGGAGGGTTGTATCTGAAGATACATCTCATTACATCCTATTAAAAGGTATCACGGGAATGCTCCAGATTCAGAGTAATATTGAGATCCGCAATAACTGATTACTGTAACTTAGTTTTAATTAATGTTTTTAAAAATTATATTTGAATTTTACTGAGTCTCTTTTAACTTATGAATACAATTCCTTTGTTTATGCCTTTTCTCTTTCAGGTACAAAGTCCAAAGGAGATACTTCTAGTTATGTGGCATCTGCAATCCATTCTTCTACAATGCCAAAAGATTTAAAACCTAGCAAAAATATTAACAACCTGCAAGTTAAGCCAGTCTCATGTGACCTTTCAATGGAATCAACCAGTAGTACTTACTCAACACCCCCTTCTCCCAGAACAATGCTTGCTATCCAGGCTGCTATGTTGGGAAGCAGTTCAGAAGATGAGTTGGAAGATGGAAACAAGAACCGCCCTAATTTAGACAAGTGTGAGTCCATGCCCAGTGTAGGCAGAGGTAACATGTCTCCACGAACAATCAAGGCTATTCAGCAGGCATTATGTGAGGAGGAGGAGGAGGAGGAGGAGGAGGAGGAGGAGGAGGAGGAGGAGATTATCAATAGGACTACTATTACTCAAGGACAGAGAAAGTCCATGAAGGACCATCTTGCCAGCAGTTCAGATGAAGGAGACCAAGTTCCTGAAGATCAGAATGAAAAACAACTTTTACCGGTACAGAAATTGGAAAGTGGAAATATTAAAAAAAGCCCATGCATTCCTGTTGTGCAAAAAAGACTTTTGTCTGGGGCAGAAAATGAAGAAAAAAGTGTGGAAACTAGGATTTCTCAAACAGATGTAAGTCCTGGACAATGTCAGAGTCCAAACAGCAGGATAAAGCAGCCAGAAATTTCTTTGTCTCCAATTCCTTCAGTTAGCTCAAGTCATTCAGGATTTGCACAGTTAGCCCAAACTGGAAGACTTCAGTGTTTAAAGGAATTGGCTAGCCATTCAGAAAAAAACATATCCAGTACACAGAATGAATTTTTGTTTGCTTTAGATACTCCTAAACGTGAAGAGTGTTTGGAACATCAATCACAGTCTGAAGAAAGTGATTCTGATGGTATGTCAGTTTTAACTTAACATTAGATTACTGGAATGATTTTAAAAGTATATAAAAGCAAAGAAATTCTACGAACTTTCCTGGCACATTGGCTTGTGAATATGCATGTTCAGCTAATTCAGACATTGGTTTTAAACTCATTGTTCAGTTTAGGAAGGCATGCATTTTTCATTTTTTAAGTTGGCTTCTTATTTTATGCTTTGGAAAATGTTTTAGTTTCATAAAAAAGGTAAAGCTGAAGTAAAATACAGATAGGAAGATGTGTACATTATAACTACAGCCAAAGTTTGTTTACTTAGTAGTGGTAAAATGCAAAGAATATTGTAGCAAGCGATGGCTAGAAGGCATCTAATGTAATGCAACTAAACTGGTTATACACTATTTATATGTTATGTCTATATATGTAATGCAATATATATTTGTAGGAAGTTTCATTGAAGTAGAGACTGAACCAAGTGGTGAACAAGATGGGACATCTGAGACATCGCTTGCCTCCGCTGAAGAGGAGGTTGGAGCGGTGGCTGAAACTTCATTGGAAATGAGAGAAGAGAGTGAGGGTGCTACAGAGAATAAATCAAAAAATGGTGAAGATGCAGAGCTTGCTATGCAACAAAATTCTGGAATGGAAAGCACAGAGAAAACTGAAATTAATGAATGGCAAAATATTAGTATGGTAATTATTTTGCAACCACCTATATTTGAAGAATAACAAGGCAGAACTATGAGCTATGAACCATTTTTATTTTGGAAATTTTGTGGAGACACATGGAAATAATGAAGAATGAAATAACTTAGAAATATATAGGGATAAATATATAGGGATAAATGTTCATGTTGATGAACATTGGAAAAGTGTGTGTGTGTTTATGGGTTTAAAGATGAAAATTCTGGATTCTGGTGGCACATAATATTACTATCTATGGCATATCTTCTAGATCAGTGGTTCTCAACCTTTTTATACGGTGACCCCCGATCATAAGGACGCGGCGCGCATGCGCGGTGGCGCCCCCATGCGCGGTGCGCATGCGCGGCGGTGCCCCCTGAGGGGAAAAAATGGCGGATCGCGTTGTTTGGCGACCCCCGTAAAATGGTCGTTCGACCCCAAATGGGGTCGCGACCCAAAGGTTGAGAACCGCTGTTCTAGATTTAAGATAGAAATTTTATGAGGTCCTTTGGGAGGAATTGAGAAATTTGGATTCTAATTATACCTATAAGAGGCTTAAATGAAGACATTTAACAGACCTAAGTACTTTAGATTTAACAGTGTTTTGATTTGTATCTTTGTAGGAGGATTTGGAAGTCTTGGAAACAAACTTGTCTGTTGAACAAACAGCCCTTCAGGCTCAGAAACAGCAGCAGGAACGTACCGCTGCCACCGTGACAGGGCAGATGTTCTTAGAAAGTCAGGTTTGTGTTTATGATCTATTTCATTTGTTCTCAGTGGTTGATGGAGACAGTCTCTTATATAGAAGAGGAAAATGAGAATATTGATTGGGCAAGACTGTCTAGAGAAATCTGTATTTTAGATGGGAGGTGAAGTGCCTGAACAGTGTGGTTTGTCATAGTAGCAGTAGTATCTATGAAGATTCTCAATCATCCAGGTCATGGTTATCCCACAGGTGCTTTTTTCAGTTCAGAATCGCCTGGGCACGGGTGATGTCACTGGCTAATCCTTTCAACCTGAAAGCACCTTGGTAGGTGTAGTAGTAGTGGTTCAGAATTGAAGAAGCTTCTTGGATAAGAAGCGAAACGTTTTCAAATTAAAAAACAATCCAGTTCCTTTTGGAAAAAAACACCTTTGGGACATAGTAGCATTAGGTTTTTCTCATGTCCAGTTTTCCCTTTTAACATACTTGGACCTTTGAAATGTAAAAGGATCAAAAAATTCCATTGAATTTGATTAAGCTTTTAAAACAATGTATCATGTATAATATGTTAATGTTAAGTTGTACATAATACTGAAAATATTCCTTTAATTCTAAACTCAGTAGGTTGTACTATTTTTAAGCATTGTTTATTTCTTTAATTGATAATATCTAGATGCTTTATGAAGGAACGATTAATCTTAATTCACTTCAAGTAGTTGGAATTTGTTTCCAATTCATTTTGCAAATTGTATTCAGTGGTAATAGGATCAGAGACTCAAGAATTAAATGTCTAATTCTATAAATTATGTATAGTTTTCAATCTAGAGATCAGTTCCATTCCTCATATTGAACAAACTAATCTTCCTGTTCAAAAAACAAATAGGAAGAGAGAAAGGAAGTGGAAATTTAGCCATCTTTCTCACATTTCTAGATTTCCCAAATAAATATTAAGCATCAATTTGAAATAGTTGATGCTACTTTTTTAATACTGGGATATAATAGTATAACCTTATTTGATAGAAAATCCAGTGTCGACACAGTTGAGACCAGAATTGAGAAATATTTGAATTCCTAATAATATGAGTTATCTTAAATGAAATCCATCAAAACAATATTTCAGATTTGAATGTATTTTGCTTATCATTCTTTGTGTTAAAGAAAATAAAACATGATGATGGAATTGAGAATTTTGGAAATGAAAATAAGCATATATCACAATTCTATCAAGCAGTACTAATAAAAAATGCTGACTTTAATATCATTTGAATCTTTAACTGTAGAGAGTCACAGTTATTTTTTTTTGGGGGGGGGGGATGTATCTTAGAGTCAGTATTGACTCCTGGCAACTGCATGGACAAGTCTGCATTTCTCTGCAAAGATTTCAGAAGTACTGTAGCTTGCCATTATTTCTTTCTTAGGGCTAAAAAACAGTGACTGGCCCACAGTCACCCAGCTAGCTGTATGCTTAAGGCAGAACTAGAACTCACAGTCTCCTGATTTCTAATCTGATGCCTTAACCACTACATGAAAGTAGTTTTTTATTTTTTACTTGGTGCCAATTTTAATAATAATTACTCCTAGGTCAGACATGTCAAACACAAGGCCCGGGGGCCGGATGCGGCCCACAAAGTGGTTTCATGTGACCCGCGAAGCCATCCTGGAAACAGTGAGGGAACGGCCCTCTGCCTTGGCACTGGCCCGGCTGGCTGGGAGCCAATGTACAATTTTGTGGTGGCCATCTATGTTGAAACACATTCAGTCTTAGCTCCACAAGGCTGTCTGGAAACAGTGAGGAACCAGCCCCTGCCGCGTCGCCCCCGCCCTCTGGGTGCATGCTGGGGAGGTGTCACCCTTTGTGAGGAATGAACAAATGCGCCATCGCCTGGAAGTGGCCAGCAAATGGCCCTCACCTACTTCACCTATCTGGCTTGATGGGCGGGGGAGGAGTTTCGGCAGGCAGCAGGGTGCTCTCCTCACAGCACCAAGAGTTGAGCCGGGGCACGAATCTGATGAGAAGTGCAATGCTGCTTAGCCCCCAGTCTGCCCAGTTTCAGCAGGCAAAAAGGTGCAAAGCTGATAAGCTTTGCACCGCCCGGCTCAACTTCTCGGCGCTGTGAGGAGAGCACCCCGCTGCCTGCCAAAACCGGGCAGGCTGGAGGCATTGCGCAGGTAATGTTGACTCTCACACTGCTCATGGCATCCCCTCTCCCAGAGCCCACCAAGCCAGATATGTGAAGTAGTGAGGGCCATGTGCTGGCTACTTCCAGGTGATGGTGCATTTCTTCATTCCTCATGAAGGGTGACACCTCCCCAGCTGCGTTTCTTGCCTATTTTTCTCCCTCTCTCATCTCAAATATTTTCCCACCACTCTGTACTTAGGAAGGAAGGAAGGAAAGAAGGAGATGAAGGGTCTGAGGGAACTTCTGCCTTAGTCCTGCCCTGCTGCCCTTTCACCATCCCCTTGCCCCCTCCTCCTGGCCTATCCTGGAGGTCTCCCATCCTATTGCTAAGGAAGCTTTGGATACAAAGCCAGGTCTACTCCCATGGAGAGGGAATGGGCCTCCCTCTGACTTTGCCCTCATACCCATCATGAGCAACCTGGGTAAGGAGAGCAAGCACAGCAGTAGCAGCCTTGAGGAGGAGGTAAGTGCAGCTGGGCGCCCCCTGGGGAAGTGGGGCTGGGCTTGGTGCCGCGGTTGCTCGAGGGCCAGGCTAGGCATTTGACCTCTGCTGCCCAGGGCTCCGGGCAACCCACACCACCATCCAGCCCCTCCCCCGCATGGCCTGAGAGGAACAGTGAGCCTCCTCCAGTGGACCATGCCTTGGCACTTGCCCTAGTCCCACCCCCTTCTGCCAGAGACCCTCAGATCTGTCCCACTCCTGCCCAGGCCCCCACAGGCACCCTTGACACGAATGATGTTGAGCTGGCCATGCCCACCCAATAGGCCACACCCACTCCATCCACACCCACCCATTAGGCACACCCACTCCATCCACGCCCACCCAGTAGCCACACCTACCCTGGCCACACCCACCAGGCCCCCCAAGGGCAACCGCAATGCTGATGCGGCCCTCAGTGAAATTGAGTTTGACACCCCTGTCCTAGGTGTATAAATTCATCAAGAATGCTACAAATTGTTCCTGTAACTATCAGTATTAGCATAACAATTACAAATTGTAGCTGACTCATGCTTCTTTTAGGTTTTTAACAAAAACAAATATATTATCTGCCAATTAGATTCTATTATTAGACCCTAACTTTTGTGCTAGAAGATTTAGAATAAGATGAAGCAAAATAAAAGAGAATGGGAGCCTTTATTGCTCTTAGTCATCTGACAAAAACCGTATCTGATCCATATATGCTAATTATTGCTTGTACTGGTGAATGTAGCTGACTGATTATAGAAATAATGTCCAAATGTCACTTCTAAGAGCAGTTTTAAAGATGTATCTTCTCCAAGTCCATATATTCATTTCCAAGAAATGAATTAGCAAATGAGATGGATTAACTGACCCTTAGCAGATTTTACCACCACCTAATTTTGGAATTGTTTTTCCTGTGCTTGTTCACAGGAACTTCTGCGCCTCTTTGGCATTCCATACATTGAGGCTCCAATGGAAGCAGAAGCTCAGTGTGCTGTCTTGGATCTTACTGATCAAACGTCTGGGACAATCACAGATGACAGTGATATTTGGTTGTTTGGAGGACGTCATGTGTACAAAAACTTCTTCAGTCAAAGCAAGTACGTCGAATATTATCAGTATGTGGACTTCCAAAATCAGCTAGGTAATTGATTATATGAAACATTGAATCTTGGCTTCTTTTATCTTTTTCCAAATATATAACTTAATTTCACTTGTAAACTTATGTACTCATTACACTATTCTCTTTTGAGGTAAACAAACAACCAAACAAAACAAAGGGGAAGAAAAATGAACAAGAAATAGAAAATCAAACAAATTGAATCATAAGAGAAGGAAAAAGAAGAGGCTAGATCTACTTTACGCCAAACGAATAACTATTCCTCTTCATACCATTCTGCGCCACAAAAAATTCTTGCTTTCATTTTTATCTGTCACTGTGTGATACATTCCCTTTTGTTCTTTAGATTCTTATTTCTCTCTCTTTCATGATCTTATCAGTTCAACACAACTTTTTTAGTCTGCCCTTCCCTCTTGACTTATTAATCCTTCCTCCATATACTTCTTTGTGGTTTGGCCTTTATTCACTCTGTATGATTAAACAGCTTCAACATACTATTTTAAAGTGATCTCTCACTTTTATATATTCAGGATTAGAAACCATTTATTTGTAAAGAATAACAGAGTAACATCTCTTCTTGGTTTACCCTAAATATTTCTAAAGTATGCTATTCCTGCTTCGTTTAACCTACTTTGAAGTTTTTGCTGACGTTCCCAATGCTAATTTCCATGTATCAAAATATAAGCATGTTCCCCCTCCCTCAACAATATTCTCATTGGGTGGGTGTGCTCCAGCTTTCCCCTTTTAAACATTATGGCTTATGGAACGTGTGCCTTTTAAACCTTGTCCCGCAATTATGGTACCTAGGACATGTGCATAGGATTTGTAGTTGCCCCTGGAACAATCTCTTTCCCCAATATATACCAGGCCCCAATTCTGCTTGCTGTAAGTGGCTATAACCTGGCTTCTCCCCCCACCCCCACCCCCAGATATTTTGGTTCAGTTGAGCACAGTCCTGTTTTAGTTGACTGGTTATCCCTTTTGGTCATCATTTTATATTTTCTATACTGGGTTGTTTTTTTTAACATTGTATAATTAGTTTCCTTTGTTTATTGTTTGTTTTTGTTGTACTCTGCCTCCAGTTACTTTGTTTGAATCTCTGAAAGAACGAAATAAACAAATCCTCTTTTTCTGCTACATGATAAGAAACTTGCAGATGATCACTTCCTTTTTTTCCTCAGGCTTGGATCGAAACAAGTTGATTAATCTGGCCTATCTCCTGGGCAGCGACTACACTGAGGGCATCCCTAATGTTGGCTATGTAACTGCAATGGAGATTTTGAATGAGTTCCCTGGTCGAGAACTAGAGCCTCTCTTGAAACTCATGTAGGCAGCTTTCACTTTGGGGGCTTTCGTTTTTCCTTTCCAAAGCCTAAGTCAAGATCATTTTCTAAATATGCCTCTTTTTCTCTCTCTTCTTTTTTAGAGAATGGTGGGCTGAGGCTCAAAAGAATAAGAAAATACGTCCCAATCCATATGATACTAAAGTGAAGAAAAAACTGCGGAACATAGAAATTGCTACTGGTTTCCCAAATCCTTCTGTGGCGGAAGCTTATTTGCACCCTGTGGTGGATGAGTCAAAGGGATCCTTTACTTGGGGAAGACCTGATGTGGAACAAATTAGAGAATATCCTTTCCCCCATTTGTTCCCTTAACAAACTGTTAAAAAGAAAGATATTCTAGTGCAAACATTTGCATAGGTGAACTGTGCTTCAGTATAGTGGTTTCTTGTTTCCTTCTTTGCGTGGAAGAATTTAGATTCTATAGTTAGTAAATTACTTATCTGGTGAGAGCAAATTTAATTTTTCTGAATACTAACTAGTAGCACTTCCTTATATATTAGCTGTATTTTTTGGTTGATGCAGAGTCTCTACCCTATATAAATAAAACTAGGAAGCTCAGTGTATTAAATCCCATGTTTGTTTTTTATTGGTTTAAAAAAAGTGATCATTGTTTACTTGCCTGATGCAGTTGTCAGTATGAAATAATTTGGGAGTACAGTTTTTGCATGTAAAAGTAATGTAAGATTAAAATTCAGAATGTCTAATTCAGACACATCTTTAGAAATCTTTTGGGAGTGTTTGCTTATGGTCCTTAACTGTTTGCATATTTTGCCAAAGTCATTTTGGATGGACTAAATTAAAAACTGACGAAGTTCTCTTTCCTGTTCTCAAACAACTGAATATTCAACAGGTATTGAAATCTTTTTTTGACAGTGGTTTTGATGGACTTGAAGTGTCCAAATAAGGTTTGTCGTAAGCTTATAAAACTATCTATGTATGTGCAATAATGAATAAAGGATATATTTCTCCCTTCCATAAAATATATAATCAATATTTAAGTTATTGTATATCAGTTGTGCGAATGTAGCATCTCTGAAAATAAAATTTTAAAAAGCAAATGATTAATTAGAATTTGATATAAAAATTGGTTGGATAAATGAAAATATAGTAAAGAAGTAAGCTATGTGTTTCACAATTTCAGAACTCTTATTTTATATACAGTCTGAAAAGAGCAGTACTGAATCTTAATACTGAGTAGACAAAAGTTATATCTAGGCCACTTGCTTTCATGGGTCAGTGTCCTGGAATAAAGCAGATTACTTTCCCCAGAATATTCCCTTTCATTCAGAGATTAAAAGCAACCACAGGAAATGGCAGAGTCATGTTTTGAATGCACAATGTTTGTAATCCCAACATTTAGAATTGATTAGATGTAGGGTTCATTGTCAAAATACCAGACTTCAGTCATGTAGTAGCTGATTAGAAATTGCAAAAAACGTTATGGATGAAGGGAATCTGATTTTCTATATCCAAGACTTTGTTAGAGTCAAATTTAGGCAAATATATCTGTAGAAAAAGCATAAAAATATAGCAGTCTTAGCAATTGTATAAGTTGTTGGTTGTTGCTGCATGCTTTTTTCTAATAATTTATAATTCATACGTTTTCCAAGTAAATTCTGACAGGAAGCATAAAGTAAACATGAAGCCATCAAGAGTTAATATTTTAGTGACATAATAGCAGTACAAACGACATCTTGTACTAAATGGATGCTTATTAAAAGTTATCTAAATAGGTTGCTATCCCCCTTTGAAAGCAGTCTGATATTAAGCTCTGGGAAAGTTGTGCAGGTACCTCTAAGAGCAACTACCCATTGCAGCCTGTAGTGGAGTCAAAACATCTACAGGACATGAATCTGTAATTCATTTCAATTGAATCCCTCTGTACCAACAGTAGGGCTACTAAAAGACTAGAGTGGGATATTAGAAAATTGGGGCAACCCTAATGGAAGCCAAAGGTAGACTTGGGGTGAATTGGCCTGCTTGACCTCCATAAAGCACTTTGAGATGGTAGAGAATGTGACAATCCAAGTGGTGTGGAAATTCTTTTCCTAATATTTCTCACCATTGTCAGTGCTAGATGAGGCACTTAGAATTCTAGTCCAGCATAAGCTGGAGGGTCAGATATTCCCTACTCTATCTTAAATGTATCGGGACTAGGCACAACCAGCTGGAGCTCTGAACAAATATTCTCTTGTCAAGGATGTGAATTTTGTTGCATGTTTTCTTTGCTGCAGGTAGTATTCTTGGTAACCCTTACTGAATCTCACAGGGGTACTTTTCTTTCTTTTGTAGACTCAACTGCGTATTGACTCATTCTTCAGACAGGCACAACATGAAAAACAAGCCATCAAGAGTCAGAGGCTTCGCCGAGCTGTGACTTGCATGAGGAGAAAAGAGAAGGAAGAAGAAGACAGTGAAGTCCAGGAGGCAACTGCTGTCCTAGAAGAAGAATTGAAACAGAGGAAAGGGCAAGCATTCAATAAAGGAAGGGCTGGATGCCAGAGACGAGGAAGCAAACGGAAAAAATGTCCACCATCTGAGCAACCGAGCTTTCTGTGTGGTGGCTTCATAGGAGAGGTTCTGCTCTCGGAGGCATCCAGCGAGTCTTCAGCTGATGATTTGGAGAAGGAAGTTTCCAGAAAGCACAGAAGAGGGGAGGATGCAAAGATGCTCGAAACAAAAGTGGCAAGTCACAAAACAACTCTAGAAGTTGCATCTGCACAAAGTGAAGCAGAGAGTAGCAGTGCCAGTGCAGAGGAGGAAATGCAGATGGTGACAGCCAGGCCAGTGTTTGAGGGCAAAAAAGCCCGAGGCAAGAGTTTAAGGAGAAGGTGGAAGAAATAATGCTAGCTAGAAACATATATGGGGCTTTAAAAATCATCTCTGTGTTTCTCAACCTTGGCAACCTGAAGACATGTGGACTTCAAGGCTGGCTGGGGAGTTCTAGGACTTGAAGTCCATGCCTCTTCAAGCTGCTAAGATTAAGAAGCACTGCATTATCTTATAAAATGCATAATATTCTTTTCATTAGAAAGGTATTTTCCACTTTCTTTATCAATTTTGTATATATTGTTACTGTTCACATACTTAACAGCATGATATGAATGTTTAAAAAAAACCTTTTTTTTAAAAAAAGGTAAACATCTGTTTTCTCCTCAAGAAAGTGTCTGCTAAAGTTTGTTAGCTTTGAGAATTATCTGAGATAATTTGTGACCTGTATTGTTTTCAGAAGGAAAATGAATTCAATTTATGGTGCTGCTAATTGACATTAAGCTTCACACTTCAAAAAACAAAAAAAACAATCAAAACCGCACAAGTGACCTACTGTTCAGAGCTTTTGTAGTTCATTAGTAGGAAATAAGTGGGACAACTGAATTTCCTTCGTATCTTGCCATGCCACTTATATTAAACATCAGTTTGTGCATTTTGCGGTGCAAGGAAACTTTGATGGAAAGAGGAGAGTTAATCATTTTGATCTTGCTACAAGTGGATATTAAATGAAATGGAAATGAGATATCAAACAAGGGGCATAAATAAATTGAAGAAAAGCAAAGAATAGACTCAAAGTTTAGATCAGATTTAAATTTCATTTTCTGTATAGTTAAATTATGAAGCTTGCTGTGTCAATCTTTTTGATCTAAAAGATCCCAATAAAAATGGATGAAAATACACTAAATGATTGGCAGCAAAAAAATAAAAAAGAGTATATATAGCCTAATGAGATTCCCAGGATAAAATTTAGAGATCTGAGTTTCAAAATGTGTTACATATAATTAAGACCATTTATTAGAGTTTTTAAATCAAGGGAGGTTTGATTCCCAAAGTGAACAAGTTAAAGAGTGATTAAATGAGTGCAGAATTCAAAGAGAATGATCAATATGCAACAATATCAATGAAATAAATATATTTGGTCAGTATTATTCTCAGAGAAAATTGGTTATCAGATTTTTTCCCCCTTTCCATTCAATCATGTCTGATTTTCAGAGACTGCTTTATAAATTCCTTCTTGGCAAGGTTTTTAAGAAGTGGTTCGCCAGTGCCTTCTTTCTAGGGTTGAGAGAAAGTGACCTTGCCCAAGATCATTGCAAGGTAGGATTAGAATTCACAGGCTCCCAGTTTCTAGCCTGATGCCTTAGCCACTAGACCAAATTGGTTGTCATCAGATCTTTTAATGGTGGTATATTATTTTAGCGTTGATTATCGGAATAGACAATTCATTCTCAAAATATTCCTGAAAATGCTATAGTAATACTTGATCATTTTTCTTATGTGATGTCATGTCATGTTGTAAAGTCTTAACAGTTGTGGGAAATGATTTACAATAGAATGAAATAAATGTTCCGTTCTAGCTTGTCAGATTTTTGTTAATATTGCTAAACTTTATATTCCCATAATAAGGTATACTGAATTAGGTTTCTGGATGTAATAGCTACAAGAATTCTGTATCCCTCTGCATGCCACCAACTGAAAATACAATTCCTTCCATAGAAGAATGAGAAAGCAAATCGTAGGAGTATGTTCTACTGTCTTAGGTTAACTCTGTTAGTCTATTGTAGCAAAAAAAATAAAAATAAAAATCAGTCCGGTAGGTCTTTTCTTGCTGAGCCCTAGCCTCTCTCACAAATGGGCCCTGTCCTGTTCTGCCATGCTGGAGTATTGAATCTGCCTGGATTTCACAAATTGCATCACTGCAGAGCTGGAGAGTTTGGCATGCCACTGCCCTGCTCCCCTCGCTTGCTAAAAACACTCCTTAAAAATTGCCAACAAACCTGCTTTCCAGCTCCGTGCCATTTCTCCCTGCAGCTCAAGATGCTTTTCTTTTGCTGGAGAAATGGAAAAGCTGGCTCCCAAATGGCAGATATGTGCAGGGAAATTAAAAAGGTTCATGGGGCTAAAAAAAAAAAAAAATACAATCAGCCTTTCCAACTTTGCGAGATCTTAACTTTTTTCTCACCCCAAAAGCAGGTTTGTTGGCAATTTTTAAGCAAGGGGAGCAGGGTGATGGCACGCCAAGCTCTCCAGCTCCTCAGCGGTGCAATTTGTGAAATCCGGGCGGGTTCAGCACTCTAGCAAGTGGTGGGGCAGTGCTGTGCCTGCTTGTGAGAGAGGCTGGGGCTCAGGAGGGAAGGCGAGGGACCAGCCTGGCACTTCTCCGCCTGACTGCATAAGGGCTCTGGCATCCAAGGCCGCTCAGGAGGCGAGTGTGGGCAGCGCAGAGCTCTGAAACATGCCAAAAGTAAGTTAATGGTTAATGACTAGGTGGGAAGGAAAGTGCCTAGCAGCTTGCAACCTCAAGGGGTGGGAAGAGCATGGAATCTCTCAGTGGGTTGGGGGAGGACCTGCCCCCATGGCCTTCCCTATCCTGAGATATCTCATGCACCTGAGCATTAGATTAGCGAATATGTGATAATCAACTAGTAACTACAACATGGAATAAAACTGATCACACCACCCAGATGATACTGGAAGAAGAGGAAGAGAAACTTGACCAGACAGAAGTGTCAATAAATACTCCTATCCAAACATTGAGATTCAATGATATAGAAGCTTTATTATGGAAACCGGTTTGGCACAGAAAGAAAGCCAGAGTTAGATTTAAAAATGTGATTTAAAATTTCACTTAATGGGTTAAAAAGGCTTTAGAGATCCTGACTGATTTAATAATTAATGGAGTATGTGAATTCATTAAGAAAATATATTTTGTAATGATATGCTTGTCTTATATATGATAATTATTTGGAGGGGATTTAAACTTTACCTAATGGGTTAAAAAGTTTTTTTATGGACATAGATTGATTGATAGAATATATATTTAAAACAGAGTAGAAATGTATTTTCTGAGTAATATTTTTATTTTAGGTAGGATAACCATTTCATAATGGAAGGAGGATAAGAGGCATTTGTGACAAAAGAAAAAAATGGTATTAATAAATGAATTATTAGATTAAGAAATAGAATATATGTGGAAAATACAAGAATGTTACAGTTGGAATAATATATACATGTTAGATATATCGATTATATTAGGAAAAAAGGGAAACGAGGGATACCCGAAGTGTTAACAATATGTTTATTTAAAGCTAAATTGAAATATGGTAACTCTAAATTAGTAAAGCTTAAAAACAGGATTTGGATTTTTATAGATGAAATGTTATTGATGATTGTTTTGATTGATTGAATTTTATTTAGAAATGCATTAATTTGAATATGTTATACTATAGGAGGGAAACAGAGAGGGAACTTTTAAAGAATTAACCTGAGTTATATATGTATGATTCTGGTTTTGGATGATTGATTTCCCCACCACCACGTTGTTTCTCAAGCATTTTGATGTAAAAATTAAAAAAAAAACAATAAAACTTGCTTTAAAAAAAAGATTAGTAAATGTGTGGGTGAAAGCAGGAAATTTTCACGTTCCTTTTGATTCACTCCAACGAATTCTCGGGTTGCGAATGTAATTGACAGGCTCCATTAGATTCATACTCAAGGACTACCTTTACTTGCAAAATTATTAAATGAGAAGAAAAGATACAATAGTAGCTATGAAGTGATATACCTCCTTTTTTATTCTACTGAGTGACATAGAAAAGTGGTTTTAGTTATTGAATAGGCTGTGTTGTGTACCACAAGCAAATAATGGGATCAAGAATTATCAACCTGGCTTTGCTTAACTTTGGTGAACAAACAGTTGGGAGTAAATGGGACGTGAATTTGGAATACTGTACAGCTTGACTTCCTGCTTCGTGACTACAATAAAGTGTTAAAGATACAATGGACAGAAACACTGATTATCTCACAGGATATAAGATATGTTAACTTTTAGTTGTTTTCATCCCTATGATCACAAAATGTGGTATTTTGATCTGGAGCATTATAAAACGTTTGTGTGACATTTCAGCTTATTTGATATGAACAAACCAGAATTGCCTCTGAGGAGAAGAAGAAAAGGCTAGTGAATTTCTCTGTTCATGTTTCTCTAACTTTCTTTGTTCAGTTTGGTTTATGAAGTTGGAAGAGAAATGGAGGGATGTTATAGTCCATTTTTACCAGCTTTTATAACTTCTAGCCAACATGAATCTTGAGAGTGATGGAATTAATACAGCTGGTGTACAACAGGTAGGGAAAATTAGAGGTATCTCATTTTATCCCAGTTCTATGATTGCCCTGTTCTCTCAGATATTGCTTAATACAACCATACCATACCATCCAGTTTCTTGATTCTAACTTTTTTTTTCATTCTAACTTTTTTTTTACTCCTACCTTCTCCAACTTGATGCCATATAGATGACAATTCTCAGAAACTCCCAACTATTGTACCAAAGCCATATTGTTTGGTAGTTCTGAAAGATGACACGAGGCAGAGAAAGGCTGATGTAGGTATTCATTTTTTCTGAACAGTTTAAAACTTGGCAGTTTAAATTGTTCTTGTATGTTGGTGTCATCTCAAATCTTCTTGGGAAAAATGATATCTGGACTGTGAGATGCTTTAACTTCAGTTTCACTCAGGACCTGCCTTGTAAGTTCTAAAATAAGAAAAGAATCGTATTTCTGCAAAGACTTTCACCCGGTATGGTGTATCTGGCTGTGGGATACGAGACATTAAAATACCATTTTCTAAAACTAGGTATCAACTCAGAATTAAACCCTATGGAGTTGGTCTTCATCAACTTGGGATACACAGTAAGACTGCAGTATGATTTTGCTAATTTGAGGCCAGCGTCTGACTGGCTTGTTTGTCATTACTGTCCCTTCTGTTTTATGTAAGTGTACTTTGTGTTTTGGTTTTCTTCTCCCAATGAAATTCAAGGACAGCTGTTGGTTTTATTAATTCTTTTATTGGAGTTGTTGACAGATTGCATTTCAAACTGATCTGTTGTTTCTTTCTAGTGCTTCATCGGGTAGTTAATGCTGGGGGGAGAGAATTAACAGATTATTTAAACATCTTGCCTTATTTTTGCCTCTACTTCTTCTGAATATAAATAACAACAAAAGGTATGTTGCTTAAACAGATTGCATGTATACATTTTCAGATTCTGGAAACAGTTTTTAAAGTTACTCTGAACTATGTTTAGTAATGCAATTGTTGCTAGAATACTGTAGTCAAAACAGTTAACAGCTAGACAACTAGCTCATATTTTAGGCTTTGTAGGCTATTCTAGATTACAGATCATAAGATCATATGGAAAAGAAAAACATTTTGTGAAATACCAATGGAGGGGAATTTGTAACTGAGGAATGAGCAGTGCAGAAAGTTCCTGTGATATTTTTTTTTCTGCCACTGCAACTATTAATGATCTAGATCTAAATATGTTTATTTCTTTTGTGTAAACATGCTTATCACAAATTTTATTACAAAATCTGTTTATGTTCTATATAAATACAGCTATTATACTTGCTTGTTGGTTTTATTGCTTCAGCCTTGCTCTGCTAGCTTGAATCAATGAATGCATACATCGCTTCTGCAAATCTAGAAGTTACTATATAAGAATAAGCTTTTGTAAGTGGCTCAAACCACTTCCAATGATATGGCAGAAAATACTCTCTAAATGTGTTAAACCTGAATAAAAAGGTTCCCTGTAATTGTTTAAGCCTACTGTTGGCATGCAGTTGTGTTTTTATAAGCATTTGGCAAACATGCTGTACTCCCTGCTATTTGCTGTGTTATTAGAGCAATCACTAATGGGATAAGTGGAAGCAGGACCATTAAGACTGCCCCCCCCAGAGGTTTATAGAATGCAACAAATACTTGAATGGTTTGGGGAAAATTTTCAGAAGGCAAAGCTGATAGATCTGTCAAAGTCTTAGCTGAAGTTCAGAAGGATAAGACAAAATGAATGATGTTGCCTCCAAATGCCCTTTTTGGCTTTTCACAGCCTAAACTCCCTGCTTTTCTGGGGAGCTCCAAGCAATGAAATAGATCAAGAGACACCATTTGGAGTGCAAATGGTGTAATTAATAGCCCTTCGGAGGCCTGCTGGACAAACACAACAATGTATAACTATGCCTATTGCACAAGAATGAAAAAAGATTTGCTTTAGATCCTGCAAATACACAGCAAGCAGAGCTTTCTGGAATGGGTGAAGGCATATTGTCATTTGCTGTAGATCAGAGGTGTCAAACTTGCAATGTCACATGACGTGTCACGATGTATTGCAACTTTTTTTTCATTGCTGGCAATGGGGCAGACGCGGTTTTGGCATGACGCATCCGGCCCACGGGCCGGCAGTTTGACACCCCTGCGGTAGATGATCTTATGTTGGATATTCTATTATTGTTATTGTTATTTTTAAAATTCCATTTCTACATTGAACAGTGTGTTGTCAAGGTATACAAGTATTAAAATATAATAACCATCACATTCATAATAATCTTATCAAAATACAATCATATACTAAAAAATAGTAATCAAAATATTGAAAATAGTATTACCCACATTAACGTTAGTTATATAACAATCAAAGTATTTACTAATTCATTATAAATCTTGCTCACATAATCCACATATTCTCATATTTCCAATTTTCTAACTTCTGTTTTTATCAGCTAACTGTTGGTAAAATAGGTC